GGGGGGGGGGGGGGGGGGGGGGGGGGGGGGGGGGGGGGGGGGGGGGGCAGGCGCTGCGGGATGTAACACATAACTCAACGGTGCTCCCACACGACGACGACAGGGTAGAAGCCGACGATACGCTATGGGACTTTGGTCCTTACTGCTCAACGTTTGCCTAACCCACCGCTGCGATTTGGCGGGGTGACTCTGAAGCACAACGGCATCGCCCACAAAGCGGAGACGGGTATCCTAGAGGCTATGCCCTACCTTGCTGGTTTCGGAGACATTTGGGATAGGTAACACGACTTCCTGCTACGTGGTCGCTCCGAGGGCAAGACTCACGGGAAGGAGGCAGCTCGACAAAGACCAAAACGGATCCAAGAGCGCAAACAGATCAACACAACTTGGACCCTGCAGCCCTAAAAAATAACGCCAGAGAAAGGCCAGCAAAACAAAACAAAAAAACGCTGACGCACCAGAAGAGTGACAGCAAAGTGAGCGCGATGCCGATGAGCACGACGGTGGTGTTGCTCTCCCCAACGAAGGGGTTGCAGGAAGAGGTTGGCGTTTTAGAAACGGCCGAGAAGCAGAGGAACGTGGCGTAAGAGGTCACCACCGCCGAGGCGAGCAGGTTTCCCTCGCCCCCCAGCAGCTGGAGAGCGGTAACCGCCTGGTGTGATCAAAAGCGGAAATCCCAGAAAAAAAAAGAAACAGAATCGGGCGCGAGCAATGTAGGGGGGGCGACGCGAGCCGGGCAAAGGGGTTGGAAGACGAGGTTAGGCAATCGCAACCAGTGTTATCGACCCAACGCAAACCCCGAAACAAATTCAGGCCAGACTCCAACAACGGCCACGGATCAGCTGCGAAAGGCAAGAGCTCAACCTTCCGCAAATAAAAAGGATGCACATACACGTACACGTCCCTTCGTAACAGCTGCAGCAACGGCGCCACCGCCACCACCACACACGAACAACTTGCAGAAGCGCTACAGCAACAGGCCAGCTTCGCTTGGAAGACTCACCACCGCGAGAATGAGGGTCAGCGACATGACGAGCTCGTTCTCGGCGCACCCCTGGAAGTAGTGGAACATGGCGCCGATGGCACAGAGCGAGCCGGTGTAGAGCACCCCGCTGGCCGCTAGCAGGGCGCAGAGGTATGGCTTGGCCTCCTCGCTGTCGTCGCCGTACTCACTCGCCTTCTCAACCAGACCATCGTTGATCCTGGGTGGGAGGGGGGGGGGAGAAGGCGGTGTTCGTTGCTTATGTGCTCGATGTTCGAAAATGGCGTCTGTAATGGACAGATATCTCGTGCATGGCACACCAGTGACGGAGGCGAGCCTGCAAGGTATGTTGGTTTACCTCCCGACAGCCCATAAATTCGACGTGGATACCTTCAAGTTCAAAGAACATGTTACCACCATCCCCACGGCACGGGCAAAAGATGCCGTATGAGTACGAACAACACCAATAAATGAACCAACAAAGGCTAGCAACAGCAATGCATTTGTCCTTCTAGCTGGCCACAAAACCCGAGCGGCGGTTCAAGCTGACCCGGGGCTGCAGCTACGAGCTGAAAGATTGATAAGGGGGTTAAACGACGAACCCCACGGAGCACGTCCGCTGTACATCTGGAACCAAGACAGTCCGGGAATAGGGCCTGCTTTGGACGATGTCAGCATGGATGATCTCTCACTCAGGTTCCAGACGGTGAAGAAAGTTCAACCTAGGTTTGCTTCCGACCATGCCCGTCTCCAAACTCACGTGCTCCACCTTGT